GGGTCTCACTCTTGCTCAGGCTGGTCACGAACTCCTGAGCTCAAACAATCCTCACCCCTCGGCCTCCCGAGTGCTAGGATTACAGGTGTGAGCCACCACGCCCGGCCCAATGCTGGCTTCTAATCACATGTTGGAATGATGCAACGGTTTAACCCAGTGGTCTGGATCTCGCTATCATAGTAGGTTCTATATGTGTTATTTTGATAACATTGATTCTTTGTGCTTACGTGGGTTTTCCCACCTAGATTATAAGCAACTTAAGTGTAGAAACCACAGCTCGTGTGTGGTTGTGGTTCTGCCATTGGGATTGGAAGCTGTGTGCAGGCAGAAACTACAGCTTCTCTTGCCCTTGTATTCATGACACGGGCCCAGAACAGAGCTGGGCACACAGCCAGTGCCATCAATGCTTCTGCTTGACTGATGGACTCCCTTGGCTCACTGAGGATTTATTTATGGTCAGAATCCAAATGGGGGGCCAGGCGCAGTGGCTCATGCCTGTAATCCCAACACTTTGGGAAGCTAAGGTGGATCACTTAAGGCCAGGAGTTCGAGACCAGTCTGGGCCATAGTGAAACCCCATCTCTACAAAAAATTTAAAAATCATCCATGCATGGTATGTGCCTGTAGTCCCAGCTACTCAGGAGGCTGAGGTGGGAGGATTGCTTGAGGCCATGAGTTTGAGGCGGCAGTGAGCTATGATTGTGCCACTATACTCCAGCCTGGGCAACAGAGTGAGACCCTATCTCAAACGCACACAAAAAAATCCAAATGGGGGATCTGACAGTGCTAGTCTGGCCCAGGAAGATTGACATGGCTTTAGAATTTTCCAGTTCTTGGATTAACCTTTCTAAGCTGTACTTACAGGAAATAAAATAAAAGAACATTTTGAAAGTCCCATGTATTAATAATGTGTGTGTGGCAGGAAAGAACAACTATAGTGAAATTAGACCGTTCTAAGTATGTGCCCAACTACAGAAAGGGAATGGAGGGTACAGTCTTTCTGAGCGTTAACCAGGTCTGAATGGGCCAGGGTCAGCAGAGCAGCATGCTCACCATGCAGACCATGGAGTGAAGACAGGGCAGAGGAAGCTCTGGCCCACAGTCACCTGATTCCTAGGACACCTGTGGAGAAAGACATGTGCAGGAACTTCACATTGAACACATCTCAGGAAACATTTCTGGGAAATTTTTTGCCCTTTGATACCTCTAGAGAGCATATTATTGTAGAGTAAGAAAACAGATCTATAATTTTCCATCTTCCATTAAAACTTAAATTCTGGATTAAAGCTGTTTTATCAAATTTAAGTTTATTTAGATTCATATTATTGGAGTTATCTTTTAAAAATGAAATCTGATCATTATTTTTCATTTTAGGTGCTATGTCAGTTGAAAGGGGGTACACAAATGCTGTGTATAGACAATTCTGGCACAAGAGAACTAAAAGCACTTCATTTGGTTCCTCAGTATCAAGACCAAAATAATTATCTACAGTCAGGTACCAAATAAATTAACAAAACAATTATGTCATGTATCATGTAAGTTGGTAAGTAATATTTGGCTTATATATAGAATAAAAGTGAAATAGGCAGGTTATTAATTAGGCAATTTGGCACACCTCTTAGCCCATATTAGTGAGCTAAGAATAGAATAAAATATATCTTTATAGACTAATTTATATGCCTTGTACTGACTGTCTCAAATTCTTAGATAGCTCTCCTTCACATCAGCTAGCTGCAGAAAGCTTTGTGATCCTAACCAACACTGTTTGTTAATAATTCCACAAGTGGATTTGCCTACATGTGCCCAGGTTGAAACATTGGCCTTTCCCAGACTGGCTTGGAGGGTTGACTGTTCAGGTGTGGTGTAAATGATCTACACGTTAATGTAATCAATCACTATCACTAGAGAACTATCACTCTGCTTTAATCACCATGAGTTCTGAAATAACTATCAAATGATTTATCTGATGTTCATTCACTAAAAACTTCTTTAAACTGGCACAATAATAATAAATTACCTGTAAGTACTTGATTATTCTGAAATACTTTATGAATGATTAAAGAAAGATTAAATGATGTATTTTAGGATTGTGTTTAACAAAAGCTAGACACTGATTCTTGAAAACTGGGCATCTCTATGTGGACTACACATAGCACATTACTCTAGATCTTGAGTTCACCAGAATATTTCCTTATCAGAGACTCACTGACCTTGCCAAAAATTTAAAACCAATATTAAATCCAGGGGTAGTTTTATTGGCCTTTGGAGTCCCGGGCAAAAAGACATGTGACTCCTTATTGCCCCACTCCACCCCAATAATCTCTTTTTTTTTTTTTTTTTTGAGACAGAGTCTCACTGTGTTGCCCGGACTAGAGTGCCGTGGCGTCATCCTAGCTCACAGCAACCTCAAACTCCTGGGCTCAAGCGATCCTCCTGCCTCAGCCTCCCGAGT